GAGAGAGAGAGAGAGAGAGAGAGAGAGAGAGAGAGAGAGAGAGAGAGAGAGAGAGAGAGAGAGACGAGGGATATGGTGGAACAGTGTCTTTTCCTTCCCCCCTTCTATATAAATTTTGATTCCAACGTTGGCCAATCTTGTTGCGGCACTTTTTGGATTTCCTGTGTGAATCTTCTCGGATCTCTTTGTTTGAATGCATGTTTGTATGTATGGTGACGAACGATCTCGCATTCTTTCTCGCAAGTTGTCTTTGCTTTTCCATTTTGTTTTGTTCAGTAGATTAGCGTGGTTTCAACTTCGTCGTTTTTTCGGCATTCGGGATTGCAGTGTATGTATTGATCTACGAGTCCGAGTTCTCTCAGATCTGGTTGATGTTCTCACTGCACGGGATTAGCCCAATCACTTGCGTTCGACCTGTGTAAGAGATTACGGGAATTACTAGGAATGTATGTCTACTCGTCAAATGTTTGATAACCCTTTCCTCTGATGCATAAAAGTATAGCCAGGGAGGGGTTGTTCTGGGAACGGGTTGATCGAACCAGTGTGCCAATAGATTGCTCCGCCATTGGGATGCACAACTTAGGACTGAACTAGTTGGCCAGTGCGTACGCGCGTGGAAGACAGCAATCCATCAACGGATTTGCCATCTGCACGCACACATGCAGGGGCTAGTTACAATCCCGCCATGTAGGAATGATGTGTGTGAGTGTGAGTGAGTCCCGTTGATCCGAATATGGCGATCGAAACTTCTTTTTGGATTACCAACCGCGAAAGCCTGAGAGATCCTGAGTGCAGGACATATTGGGAAAGGGAACAGATCCGACGACAGCAAGTCCGACAGCAACGGATCGGACGACAACAAAACTTAAGGAACCTTGATTACCCCTGCCGAACTGAACACGAGCGACTGTGTAGGGGCAATTTCCAGTTGGCAATCAACCGGAACTCCGGAATTCCGGAGTATCCCGACAGTAGACACCAGCAATACTTTATCACCCTTGGCTTCGTCGCTATCACGACTAATTTCCGTCCCCATTACATCGTCCTCCCATATCACCGATTGCTAGTTACCCCCTGGGACTCCATATCCTGATTCTGGCCCCGGCCTCCGTGCCCAGAGTGCCAGCAGCCCAACGAGCACGAACAGACGGAGGCCACGCATCAGACTCCTCCCCGGAGAGAGCGACGAGAACCCAGCTCGTCCTCATCATCAGACTCTAACTTTGAGTTCTGCGTCGCACGACAGAGGTACGAGCATTCCCACAGCGACGCCCACAACACCACGTTCGTGCACCCGGCTCTTTCCCGGCCCCGGCCGCAGGAACGACGCCCACCCCAACTCTGAGATAGAGGAAGCACTTGCACTTCTACCCCTGAAACTTGACACAGCAGATTCCAGTTCCGACCTGGAACTCCACCCCCAATTTCAAAAAATCCTCGTCACACCCCTTTTCGCACTTCTAGGCCCACTAACACTCTGAAACAGGAGGTCGCGCTAGGCGTGAGGTTGGTATCGGAGCCGACACGTGTCAAGACAAGAGATTGACGAGTTGCTCGGCTCTCTAGTTCAACCGATCTAGCAACCCCAAAACAGGTACGGTCTGCGCAAAGGAACGCGCCGGCAGGCGAACCTGTAGTGACAAGAAGCAGGTTTGCGGGCAGATCGGCAGACAACATGAATGCTAATCAGGCAAACGCCAATCAAGCCTAAGCCAATCAAGCAGAGGGCGGGGCAGGGGGCGGGCTGGGGCCGGCGCCTCAGCCCGTGCCTCAGCCTACACGTGCCCGCGCTCCAGCAGCCCTGCCAGATCTATATTTATTTGATACAACGCACCACCTGGCAGGAGCATGGCTTGCCACGCTCCGAGCGCAGCAGTACGATAATGCTGAAGCTAGGATTAACATCCCAGCCCAACTAGGAGGCGACGCCCATCACAGGTTCAGCACCTACGTATGGACTGACCTTCCTACCTTCGAGAGGGACTTCCTACACCGATTTTATTACACACATTCAGAGCAAGTGTTCTTTATGATCAATGACCGAGTGCAGAAGCCCCTCGAGTCTATTGCGGAATACCGTAGTCGGTTCTATCGACTGTTCGTAAAATCTTAGAGAGACGAGAAGGTAGGAAGAGAGTTCTTCATAGATGGACTTCGAAGTAGAGCTATACGGGCTAAGATACGAAAACGGTTCTCCCCCATCACCTTCACCCTGACGCAAATCATGGATGCAGCAGAGGAGATGGAGCGAAAGTTCGCTGCCGGCTTCCTCGAGGGAGAAGATCACGCTAAAGAAGTTGACTCTACGGAATTGACATGCGCAAGGATGGAATTAGCTGCCCTGCAACACAAGTTCGAAAATATGGGCTTCGTGTCCGGCCCTGTCACCTACCTGGAACAGGTGGCAGCCCTACGGCGCCCTCCCGATCAGGGAGCAGGACCATCGACGCCCAAGGCGGCTGCACAGACACCCACTCTGAAGGGGAAGATAGAGGAGTCGAACGCAGTGTTGGACCTTACACGTACGCTGGTTAGCCTCATGCAAGAAAGCAAAAAAGAACAGCGCGAGAACAATGCCCGCATGGAGTCACTGATGCGTTCCATGCATTCCATTAACGTTCGCGCTGCCCCTTTTGCCACCCAAGCATTTGCTCCCGCAGTCGCGGGAGCTGGCGCAGGCACGACCCCTAGTACTGACACGTGTTACGCCCGCCATCAACCCGGCCACATGGCCCGAGATTGCCCCCAGCGACAAGTAAGAATAGGGACAGCCGCGACAACTGCAGCTCCCTTAGCTAACGGGCACGGACGGGTAGGAACCATGGTAGAAGAAATGGACGTGGCAGCACCAAGCACAGGGGTAATCGAGGAAGCCGCAAAGCTCATCCCACTGGATCAATTCCTCTCCTTGGGATACCCGGGTCTTGGGATGATAGGGGCAATCCTGCCCGCGAACGATGAGCGAGAGATTTCAGAATGGCGACCATCCCCTGGGGAGATTGAATCCGGCGGTCCTGAGTTCGTCACCGGGAAGATCGATGTTCAGGACATCGTCCGAGCCTTAGATCACCGCATTCCGCTTCCGATCGGCTATCTGTTGTCCATATCAGAACAGGCCAATGATCGCATGCTCCAGCATTGCAAGGCCAATCAAAAACGATTCGCACTCGCCAAGCTGGCAACGGCCAAGGGGAAGACTCCCGTAAAGGAGACAAAGTCGGATACACATGGACCCTCAGAGACTGTACGCCTGGGACTTCTCCAGAAAAGCGACCATTTTCTGCGCATCAAAGCTATCCCGTGGAAGTCCGCGGAGTGTGACGTGGAGATCTGGGGAGTCCCATACAGCGCGATCCTTGATTCCGGGGCAGCAGTGTTGGCAATATCCCTGCGAGTAGTGGAACGGGCAGGAAGAAGGAAGGATCTGATCCCACTCAACGAAGGTGACCGTTTGATCTCCGCCGATAAGGAGAAGATCAGAGCGGTAGGAAAAATGACAAACGTCGCTTTTAAGTTGGGAAAAGTCCACGCCTTGGGAGATGTGGTGGTTCTTAATGTGAACTTGTACGATGTACTCATCGGACTGCCTGCATGAAACGCCCCCCAGGCCAATCTAGACTTTGAGCGACGGGAGGTGGTTATCAAGAACAACGGGGGTAAGCCGTACGCACTCCTCATGCGCCTCACCCTCCGCACGACTACCAACCCGCCACGTAGATCTCACCCAGAGGTAGGCGGGCTGATTCGGACAGTCACCTGGGACGGACTCCTAGAGGACTCAGAGACTAGCAGCGAAGAACATGCGTCCCCGCTTTCCGAGGATTCGGAAAGTGAGGACGAGACAGACCCGGCGATTCAAGAGATGACACGAAGGGTAATCCGTTACCCGGTCCGACAAAAAACGACGAAAACGTTCATGTTGACCGAAGAAAATGTCCAACGAACTCGAGCTCTGATCATAGGAGAACCCCTGGTACAGGTGTCAAGGCTGCCCGACTCTTCGGAACCCCCTCGGACCCTGTATGAGGGCACTACTCCCTTGCTCCCTCGATACGTGGACAAGCGATCCTTCTGCGACGTCACGGAACCCCCTCCCCGATCGCTTCTTACCAAAGACAAGGAGATACGGTTGCAGCGTCTGGGAGCAGAAATACAGGCTCCAGGACCCCCTGGGTGCCCCAAAGCCTCGCTGTTTGATGTCGGGATAAGGATCGCTGAGAAATCAGTAGATCCCCTGGATATTGCAGATGGGATGACCCCCGAAGAACACTTGGCCATCCGAGAAGAGGAAGCCCCAATGGTAGCCACCGTGTTCTCGTGGTGGTCGGACAACTCTTTCATCTCTTCCCCGCCGCCCCGGGACTCTAAGGCAGTACGTACCAAACGTGTTACAGTCGATATACACGGACGACCTTACGAGCTACATGTGCCAGAGTACGTGCCCGACGGAACCCACCAACTTATTGCAGAGATCTTAGCGGATATCGGGGTGCTATCAGCATTGATGACGCGGACATCGGGTTATCTTTAATAATCCAGCACCAGATTCAGACCGGTACTCACCCGTCGATTCATTGCAAACCTTATCGATACTCATTGGCAGAACGAAAGGCAGCACTCGAGTGAATCCGAGAATTCGAAGCTAACGGTTGGATAGAGCCCGCTACGGGTCCTTGGTCCTTTCCGGTAGTTTTGGTTCCGAAAAAGAACGGATCGATCCGCATTTGCATTGATTATCGGAAATTGAATGACATCACGATCAAGGATGTGTACCCCCTCCCTCGGATTGATGATCTGCTGGATGCGATTGGCTGTGCAAATTATTTTAGTAAATTTGATATTCGGCACGGGTTCCACCATATCCTTGTGAGGGAAGAGGATCGGCCGAAGACGGCGTTTGTCTTGTTTGAGGGCACGTGGCAGTGGGTTCGACGCCCCATGGGTATATGCAATGAGCCGGCAACTTTTCAACGGACAATGAATGTCACTTTCCTGAACTTTGTAAACAAGACCAGGTTAACTCAGGGCATGATCAATTTTTGCGTTATCGTGTACATGGATGATATTTTGGTGTATTTTGAATCATTCCATGGACACGTGCAGCATATTGAATGGACACTTGGCGCGCTGCGGGACGCCGGTTTCAAGATTGCGTTGGAGAAAAGTGAATTCTTCTTGTCCGAGATCTCGTTCGTGGGCTACGTGGTAACCCGAGGAGGCTTGAGACCGGATTCGAGAAAGGTCGAGGCTGTTCGAGAAGCTCCCACGCCCACGCCATTGATGCAGGTTCGAGCCTTCCTGGGACTGGCCTCGTACTACAAACGGTTTATCAAGGGCTTTACGGCAATCGCTCGGCCCCTAACGAACCTCTTGTGGAAGGACCAGCCGCTGAATTGGGACGTGGAGTGTGAGCAGGCCTTTTGCACTTTGAAGGAGGCCCTGGCCTCGGCCCCTATTCTAATCCGGCCCGATCTCGAGCGCCAGTTCCTACTCATTACTGACAGGCAGCCGGAGGCTATCTCCGCTATCGTAGCTCAGAAGGGGAAAGACGGGCGGGAACACGTGGTCAAATATGCTTCGAGGACGGTGCTGGACGAAAGGAAGAATGACTCGGCGCCACAAGGAGAATGCTATGCTGTCGTCTTGGGAATCCAACGCTTCCACCCGTATCTCTACGGGTAGAAGTTCCTCCTCGTTATGGATCACGAGCCATTGCTGGCCCTCAAGAAGCTGACGAACTACACGGGAATGATTGGGCGATGGGCGGTGAGGCTGCAGGAGTATAACTTCGATATCGTCCACAGAAAAACGGAAAGGCACGGGAACGCCGACGGATTGACACGTCTGCACTGGCCAGGCAAGGAAGAGATCACTCCGTGGAAGGATCCGGAACAGCCCAAGGGACCCGGGTACGGCCAGGTGAAGGTTCTCCCTCGGCAGGCGAAGAAGTGTCACGTGTCCTTATGGCGGCCTAGAGAGAAGAAAACGCTGAGGGCCCTCTCTCTCCTTCTTCCGCTTCTCTATTATCCCTCCCCGATCGCTTTTGTTTTCTGTGTGAGTCTATCTCGCGCATCCACTCCGTTTTGGTTAAGCCGAAAAATGAAGGGTACGTCGAGTGGGTAGAGTGTGCCACATGCGTAGTCAAGGCCCATGGATCATGCATCCAATATAGGAATCCGCAGAAACGGTGAATCTGTCATTTGTGCCGTACTAATGAGATTGCGACGGAGGCTCGATTCGTGGAAGCGACGTCGGAAGGGTTGGAAAAGATCTTACAGTATAGACGGGCAGAGGTGTGGACAGATGTCGTTTAGATAGCGACCGTCGTAGGGAACCCTCTTCGAGAATTCTCCGAGGACGATCGGAGACGGGCCAATGAAAGGGCGCGGGATTATAGGTGGAATGAGGGACGGTTAGAAAAGCGAAAAACAGACGGCAGCGGAATATGGATGGCAGTTCCGCACCCGTTTATGAGGTATGACGGGGTTAAAGCAGCCCACGAAGAGACAACAGCCCATTTCGCGGTCAGGATCACCAAGTCCGCCATCGACAAGAATGAATGGTATTGGTCCAACATTAGGGACGACGTTAAATATATTGCTGAAAAATGTCCTGTCTGTGCAGCCGACAAGGCACCGATTCAGCCACCTAGGTCGATAGTGCCCATCGTAGTCCAACGGCCATTTCATAGGGTTACCATGGACACGACGGATATTATCGTCCCCCCTGGACCGAATAGTTGTGAATATTCAATTCTCTTGGTGTTTGTCGACCACTTCTCAAAGTGGATCGAGGCCTACCCATGTCGGACAAGACAGACGGCGGAAATAGCGCGGTATGTCAACCGTTTCCTCGGGATGCATCAGGACACCGAGGAAATCCTTACCGACAACAGAGCGGAATTCAGGGGAGAAGTCATGAGGAACCTGGTCGTACACGGGGTGTCTATTCGTAATACGGCTCCCCATATGTCTCAATCGAACGACATCGTGGAAAATGCCAACCGGGTAATTAAGACGACACTTCGACGGAATGTTGCAGCTAAGGACACGCGGCAGTGGCCCGATATCATAGATCACATCTTAGCTATATACCGAGGGACCCCGCATGAATCTACCGGACTTTCACCTTTCCAGCTACGTACCAACAACCTATCTTGTGTCTCAATACCGAATCTAAATGACGAAACGGCGCTGGACAAACGTCCCACACGGGCGACAGCCAAGGACGAGGCCAAGCACCATCTGGACCTTATGGAACGAGCCCTTTCGAGATTGGCCCGGAAAAGACAGCGTATGACTGAATTGGCCCACGGACGCCAGGTCCGAAGTTATGAGGCCGGAAATGGGAATGCAGGCCCTTGGTCCCAGTATAAATTGGGGGACTTGGTGCAGGTGAGGAAATGTTCTCGCCAAGGTAAGCTAGCGCCACGATTCTACGGATGCTTCAGAGTGATCGAGCTCGGTTCTAACGGCATGAACACGGTGCGGCTTGCTCCTGAGGTGCCAGGCAGCCGATCGGCTAGGCCTATCGTCCGCCACGTGTCCTACCTCCGCCATCTCTCAACTTCTTCCCCTCCTTCTTCAGCTGGGTCGATTTCAAAGTCTGAGTGGGACAGTGACGAGCCTCATTCTCTTTCTTCTGCTCGTTCATCTTCTTCGTCCTCTTCGCCATGAGTTTCTCCATGGAGTAGGTACTCAGTGAACGTATGTTGGCGCCAGGTGGGCATATCTCGTCAATTCGGCAAGTGTATCATCCGCGCATCAGCCCGGACACTCTCCGCTTCGCCCAGTTCTTCAGTACAACGGGATTCCACACGATGGCATAATTTCGATTTGCGATCCCCAACAGCAGGTCACACGTGCTGGCCGAAGCCTCGGCTTACGGTCGGCTCTCGGCGCCAGGGACTGCTCACATCTTGGCAATTGTCATCTTCAGCGGGGATCTTACTCCGCTCGACCCCAGAACGCATACGACCATTCTTGACTCGTTGCGAGATTAGGGAGCGCAATTGTCGAGGGTGTGGAGTCAGATGCTTGCGTAGCGGGGGGAAAACATCGTCAATACCGACAATATTGACATAAACGGCATTCACCTCTCTCAGCACGCACCAGCGGTGCTCATCCCGGAGCTTGTCCCCTTCCCGCGCCCCCAATGAACCGCTCCAGATTCTCTACTTTCAGTCTCCCCTCTTCTTTTCCTCTCTTCTGGCAATCCGCACTCCATCCCTGCCTCTCTTTCTGTGTGCGCCCGCTTATGCTTCCTAGGATCAAGCCGGAGCAGTGGCTAAGGTGGTGGCAGACGTATGCGACTCTGTCGCTGTACTTAGTCGATATCGATCTGACGTGGTGGAAGGACGGTGACCAGCCCGCAGTTAGTGAGGACGTCGAGCTGCTGCTCATTCAAGCTTGGAAGACGGACACACAGGAGGATTTTCTAGGATTCGCCTTCGGATCGGTCGAGCAGGGCCATCGACGGACGATCGTAAGCAAGCTGCTGATCCTCCAGACTGAGCTGCTAGACGACCTTCCGCTTGACATCATCTCGCACTCCGACAAGAGTCCAGTACCACACATCCTCTCGTGCAGCCTGATACCGTATCTGCAATGGTCAGCATGCCTGGAAGGCGATGATGATAACGCTTGTTACCCATCGCACAGATACCTGGATCCCGGGACCATTGCGGACGCTCTCTTCAACCCGGTGAGCGGAGGAGAAGAGGAGGAGGAAGACGAGGAAGACGAGGAAGAGACCTCCGAAGAGGACGAGGATTATAGTAAGCATAGTGAGCGTGAGGCGGGGGTAGTGAGCGAAGAAGAAGAAGAAGAAGAAAAAGAGCGGGAGGAGGCCGAAGAAGAAGCGGCCGGAGAAGGGGAAGCGGATCAGGCGGAAGCCCAGGAAGAGGATCCAGAGGCAGAACGGCGCAAGGCGGCCATCGCAGAAGGAAAGTGGCCATTTGAGCAGTCAGTGGGAGTTGATCTGCCTGTTCCGGACGACCTGACTAAGGATCCCGAGCCGCCAGCCAAGGAAGATGAGCACCCTCATGCAGAGACTTCTGGCACGACGACGCGCAAGTGATCCCGCTCCCCCTCCCCTTCTCCCCGTCCCTCAGTTCGAGCTCGTGGCAATGCAGGACATCGGGTTACGTCCCCGTTCCCTATCCCGCCATCCCCTTGATTACATCACATTCCGACAGATCGATACTCCTCGCTCCTTCCCCTCTAATCCTTTTCCTTCTTCGACCTTCCACCAATTCTACGCCACCCGCCTCGTCGCCGAAGTATACCCACACCCCGCTGCCCAATGTGTCTCTTCTTCCTTCTATCTCCACGTCCTTCTATTCAGCACCACGTGGCGAGACCAGGACGTCATTGAAGTCTACTGCATCATCACGGGAACTATTCCCGTGTGTGAAGATCATGAGCAGTTCCGCACGGCGTTGTTTCGCACCTTCTCAACCCTCTATCCCGATTATCTTGCTTCCGTCCCCGAAGGCGGAAATCGCATCCCCCGCATCCATCGCATCATCAGGTACCAGGAGCTCCCTAAAATGGTGATGGGGACGACAAATTTCTTACCGCCTCTCCCGAATGATCCTCCCCTGCCTATCCCAGCCATCTTCCGACTTCCCCACCCTTGAGACGAGGACGACTCAAATTACGTGTCGACAGGATGACTTCCACACGTGTAATATTGGTGGAATTGCAATTTTTTCTTCCTTCCTTCTTCTTTCTTCTCCGAGCTTGGGAGAGATGTGGGTGCAAGCGGGAGCTTGCACAAGATGGAACCCCCTGGGCGTCACATATGTGACAAACTACTTTCTGTAAGGCGCCATCTTCTGCGCAACTGGGATTGGGGGTACACAAAGGGATAGGGGATAAATTGCATGGCGGTCCCTCCTTCTTGATTTTTCGAAGTTTCCTCCTTGGTCCTTCGGGGGAGAGAAAGTGGTGGGTATGGACCTTGGGACAGTAGGCCCGCGCCTTATCAAGCGCGGGGGGGGGGGACAACTTCGGCTATGGCCTTTTTCTCTTTTCTTTTCTTTTCTTTTGTTTTCAAATAAGGCGTTCGTCTTTTGGGCGCGGTAATCGCACGACTAATTCTTTCGGAATTTTTGAATTTAGAACGAGCCCATGCGGGCTCTCAGATTTTTTTTTTGAAATTAGGACTTTAATTAGACTAGGAAATTGGGTGCGTCGGAATTTTTACCCATAACTGCACATCGCCTCTTGCTTGTGCGCACGCTTTGCTGCACAGGGACCTGCGCTCTGTTCCCGCCGCGCCTAGATTCTAATCTCAACTGTAATCTTCTTGTTCCTTCCCCGCTACGCAGGAGTAACTGTAATTTTCCCCGTTCTTGAAATTCCCTTCCCGCGTCATCGCATGCGCACTCTACATCCTATCTCATTGGCCAAATCGTTGCATGGTTGGATCGAAGCGTGGAGTGAGGCTACGTCCCCCACGCCGCGGTCCAGTCATGCACTCGTAGGCACTTCCTTTCTCCCTTCTTTCCTATTCCTCTGGCAATCCCGACTATTGCGCGCTGATTAGCAAGCTATAAATTTTGCAAGCGCGATTAATTTTCTCTCTAAGCTACTTGGGAGTTAGCGCGGTCGAGAGGATCGGCTAACGTGCAGAAAGACGCTGAGACTCAGTAGAGAGTTGGGCGATCCTCCGAGCTGGTGCTGAGTGCGTGGGGTCGACGTGTGGCCACGAGGGACCGTGGCACGTGGGCGAACCTGGCTTGCACGCTCAGGCTAAGCGGGGTGACGACTCTGTGAGGTCTTTGAGATGCGTGGCGACGGACTGCCCGCAGAGAGAGAGAGAGAGAGAGAGAGAGAGAGAGAGAGAGAGAGAGAGAGAGAGAGAGAGAGAGAGAGAGAGAGAGAGAG